TGACTGACCCCTCTTCCGCCTGTAAAAGGGGAGAGACCCAATCAGCCCTTCTTCGAAGAAATGAGCTCGGAGGATGATGAATACTCTCTCGTCGGATAGCAGTAACCGACGGGCGAAGGAATCGAGGACTGAGCAGGAACTTGGCTCCGGCTCTTGCTCCCCTTACAATATTGAGAGAAGGCGAGGCAAAAGGGCAGTATCTCCTTTTCACTCGAACGAAATGACAAGCCCGTCGAAGACTCCAGCGACCCGAACAATCGGATCGTACATATCTAAACGAATTGCTACTTATCGGGTGCTACGCTCGGGTGAAATAAGTAAAATTCGAAAGAACAATTCGGATAAACATTAACAAAATAATAATAATAAAAGATACATTAACAAAATAATAAAAGATATAATGTGATTAAAACAAGATTTAATCATTAAAAAAATTTTTCAGTTACAGAGTCATCGCGCGAAAAATAAATCCAAAATCTATTAAACTTACAAGTATCATTCAATAATGATACGCGTGATGTAATCCCTCAATACGCAGATTAGAACGCAGATTAAATCCATTTTTTTTTGCATGCAGATGTGTGAAGTTTCCGAAATTAATCGTTTATTTAGATATCATTCATTGTCAAAACTTGGATGTTCTCCCAATTAAATTCATGTCCAAAATCAATTCTGTGGTCAGTAATTATTGAATGGTTAATCGTATTTCTATTTATATGATTCCAATGTTCAGAAATTCTTGTTTTTAACCTTCTTTGATCCCGTTTGATGCATCACAATCATTACAAGAAATTTTGTACAGTATATTTTTCTTTAAATCCATTGAGAGAACATCCTTTTGAACTTTAATGAACCTGCTCAATTTATTATAATTTATAAATGCCAATTTAGCATCGACCTTTTTGCTAATATTGTTGAATTTCTCTGAAAAAGACGAAACATACGGTAACAAAAATTATAGAATGCATTCATTATCTTCGTTTTTTTTATCACTATCATTCCTCTGTTTGAGTGTGTACTTTTTGTAATAGGCATTTGAGTCACGCGTTGATAGTATTAAAAATTAATTCAGCAGAGTAATCATTTTTTAATAAGGTATGATTATAAATCTTATGTCTTTACAATGGTATTTCGGATGTGATAATAAAAAGATTGTCAATCGTTCCCAAAATTGTGCCTTTCTTTTGAAAATGGATGTGAAGATAAAAAATTTAGGTATCTACCCGAAAACGTGGACTTATAATACCAGTCAAACTCTAATAATAATTATTGTTAATAATTGTCATGTTAAAAACTTATCCTATCATCCATTTCTATTGTAAATTGTAATCTTGGATGATTGAATGTTTCTAACGTGAGCTCAATTAAATTTGAAGGAACTGCTATCATAATGTCGTCGACGTATCTAAAATAAAAAGGTAATTATATTGCTATGGTCTCTAACGCTTTAGTGTCTAAATCTCAAAAAACATTCAATTAATTATGTATGACTTCAAGAAAACACAATAAAATTATAAGTTTGTATATTATTGCGTACAGTAACCGCGCTGTATTCTGTGTTTTTTACTCTTGAAAATCTTTTTTATAATTTTTATTTATAAAAAATTATGTCATAAATAGGTTCAAAATATAAAAAATAATGATAAAATATAAAAACTAATATATAATTAAAATTCATTATCAAAAAAAGTAACGTCAGTATCAGTATATTCGTTACCGTTACCAAAAAAAAAGTAACTTATAACTTGTAACGATAACGATGTTACAAGTAACACGTTACTTCCATTTCCTGTAAGTTTATATATATTATATTATCAAAATTATAAAATTCCTAAGTTTTAATTTAACATTTGGTTCTTAGATTCAATAAAATTAATTAATCGTATGAAATAAGAACAATTGTGAGATTCAGTATACATTACTAATAAATTCATCAACAAACAGTCTTTGTATAGGTTCAAATACTTAAATAAAAAGATTAGATGGCTAAAGACTAAAGATATAATAGATAAAAATAAGAATATAAAACCTATTAATTATGTTGGCTCGATTATAAAATTATAAAATTATAAAATTATAAAATTCCTAAGTTTTAACATTTGGTTCTCAGATTCAATAAAATTAATTAATCGTATGAAATAAGAACAATTGTGAGATTCAGTATACATTACTAATAAATTCATCAACAAACAGTCTTTGTATAGGTTCAAATACTTAAATAAAAAGATTAGATGGCTAAAGACTAAAGATATAATAGATAAAAATAAGAATATAAAACCTATTAATTATGTTGGCTCGATTATAAAATTATAAAATTATAAAATTATAAAATTCCTAAGTTTTAACATTTGGTTCTCAGATTCAATAAAATTGATTAATCGTATGAAATAAGAACAATTGTGAGATTCAGTATACATTACTAATAAATTCATCAACAAACAGTCTTTGTATAGGTTCAAATACTTAAATAAAAAGATTAGATGGCTAAAGACTAAAGATATAATAGATAAAAATAAGAATATAAAACCTATTAATTATGTTGGCTCGATTATAAAACAAAATGATACATTTACAAAATTCTATAGAAGACACAAATGAGGGTAACACTAATCATTTAAAAATTTCCTTTCCTAATAAAATTCCTGATATTCAACATAAAACAGAAGAGATAACCTTCCAGTTATATTAATAAGTTAAATCATTACTAGATACTTACTAAAATACGTAAGATACGTAAAAAATAATTGATTAGTAAAATCTTATCCAATAATATTATTCCAAATCATGTTCAATGTCTTCTTCAACTTAAAATTTCGCTTTACCTCCTTCAAATAAAAAATCAAATAAAATGTGGAGAACAACATTAAAAAATTAGATATCAAATCATAATCAGAAATTAAAACTTAATGCATTCCATTGTTACTAAATATTGTTTCCTTGTCTCCTCCAAAAAACTGAAATATTTATATTAAAAATGCAGATTGGTTAAATCAACAAGGTATTTTACTAAGAATAACACAAATATATTATTCACAAAAGAAGAAAAGGGGAACAGAGCAGTGGCCATTGAAAAAAAGGAATATTTTAACAAATGAAAAAGCTATTGGCTGACGTTGACACATATACAATGACTGATAAAAATCCTACTAAAAGATTGACTGAAAAGATGCCTGAGTTGCCTACCAAATAGTAAGGAAAGGACACATAATTAAATATGAATATACAACAAAATTTATTGTAGCGATGGCATATTACTTAGAGCTTGTGGATTATTCAAAATACACAAACCGGGGCATCCACTAAGATAAATCAGCATTTCTTCCATTCGACAGTCCACTTTATGATTTAGTAAAGTTTATATGCATAATATCACTGATGACATAGCTATAGTGGTCCTACATATATTAACTCCTCGGTCCTCGATATACTAAGAGGAAAGGATTCAATTCACCTTGAAAATTGGAGATAAGCCTGATTTTTTAGATTTGACTTTCAATAACAATCTAGAATTTGATTAGTATAGAAAACCGACATTCTCTGCCAAATTTATCAATTTTATGTCTTCGCATCCTCCTTCTAAAAAAAGAAGAGTGATCATGAATATTGTGGAAAGCTATTTTACTTCGCATCCCAAATATCATCAAAAAAATTTATCCTTTATTATTGAAACATTTCTGAACAATGATTAGAGTTTACTTTCGAGCTATTACCAAAATTAAAAAAGATTTAAAAACTTGCTTTAAATATTAATAAATGTAATAAAATTAATTTAAATAAATGTAATAAAATTAAATCAGATAAAAATAAAAATGAATCTACTAACAATATATAGAGAAAAATGGTTTACAATCCCGTACCTAATGTGACAGAAAAATTTGGAAATTTTACAAGACAGTAATGTATAATTATTTTTTAGCAGCAATAAGCTCAGAAGGATTAAAAAGATGTTCTTCCTATTAACATGACCAGAAATATAATTTATAAAATTGCGTGTAAAGAATGTGACGCGACCTATGTTAGACAAAAACAAAAATTAAAAACTAGAATTACTGAACATAAAAATCAAATTAGACAGACAAATAATGTATCTGTTATTACTGAACATAAGTTAAGTAAAAATTACGAATTTGATTGGGAAAATGTCAAGATTATTGATAGAGAAAGATATTTGGATAAAAGATCAATTTCTGAAATGCATATAAAATTGCAAGATAATGCATTAAATCTACAAACAGATACTGAATTCTTACATCATAGTTATGTATCTATCCTTAATAAACTTTAAAATTCAAGTCAGCTTCAATAAATTTCTCATCTTAATTTTACATTATTCATGCCATATGTTTTATTTCTTAATGTCTATCTTAAATATAGCATTATCACAATATTTATTTATCATTGGTAATAACAACGTTCTCTTGAATTTATGATATTGTACATGATAATGAATTTATTATACAAGTTCTAACGAATTTCATAACCTAAAATGAATTTTATTCTTAAATTGTCATTTTCAGTGTAACAAAGCTTGTGGTTCGGTGAGTTGCAAAAACTGCTGTTATTGCAAATATATAAAACAATTTTTCAACAAAATTCATTACAATACTTTACAGATCTTAATAGTTACACAGCTGGTTAAGGAAATCATTCTCAATATTCGAATTCAATCATCTCAGAACCATCAAGAATCCATGTCTTCAATTTGTTGTATGCGCTGAAGACAGCTTAAATATAAGTCAAAACATTCGTACATATGTACAGATAACCAAGAAATGATGTAAAAATTACTTATAAATAAAAAATTACTTATAAATAAAACTATTATATGGGAAATAGATTACATGGGGAATAGATATAATAATGCTAATATTAATTGCGGTTGTGCACAATTGCCCTTATTTCACACGATAACTTTAGTACATATTATGATACATAAATTTTATTTTTTTCTATAGAATACTATACTATATAAAATTAAATAAGATTTATTGATATCATACCTTCATAGAACAAGGGCAATATTCCACGGTATAAATGCGCTTGTCGAGCAACTTGATGAAATCTGGTAACTGCAATAATAGGACAACGAGGTCTATATTTCGCAATTAGATGTGCGGATCGACCAGATGTTGTAATAACAATGATAGCACTAGCCAAACATTTGACGGATGCTTCTACAGAGGCAATGGCAACTGCATGCGTGGCATCTATAGGCGGCAGAGCTTTGCTTGACAGATCATGAAAGATTTGTGTCTGCCAAATCGCAGCTTCTGCTTCCTTACAAATATTAGCCATTGTGCGAACACATTCCAAAGGATAATCTCCTTTTGCTGTTTCACCTAAAAATAAAAAAACAAAATTAATTGCATATCTAATAATAAATAGTACATCAATATTTAATACATTAGATTACAGAATTGAGAATGTTATTTTAAAATGGTAACACGTTACCATTACTCGAAATGGTTCATTATTTTTTATTGGATCGTCCGGAAAGTTCGTGCCGCAAAAGATTTAAATTTAATAAATGAAATTGAAAATTTTAATCTTCTGCGTTCAATTTTCCTTCAAAATTTTCCTTCAAAATTTCAATTTTTCCGGCACGAACTTTCCGGACAATCCAATATTTTTTAATATTATAATAAGTTATTAGATTTTAAAATTACATTATTTGGTAATCAATACTATACAATAATAAACATTAAATATAAAATTTTAAACTGTCTAAAGAAGTCCATATATAAAGCAAGTTTTTCTATACATTAAAGAGATTATTCCATCATATGCAATATTAATGTAATGAATTGCGGATATTATTATGTGTTATATTCTTAATAAATTATTAATGTATAGATCCATACAGCACCAAAAGTTTTCAAAAATATTTCAGAAATACTTCAACTGAAAAATGAAACATTTCATAAAAATTGCGAAATATGTCTGCAACATTTCTGAGACAACTCTGAAATAACAAAATATCCGCGATTCTTGCACGAAATCTTGTTGAAAGGTTGATGAAATGTCTTAGAATCTGCAATCTTTTTGAAATATTATCAAAGAGGTAATTGTTTAGGATTATGTCCTGGATAACATTTGTTAAGATTAATCATCATTGGTGATTGTTTCTCTTATTTTTATTTTTACATAAAAATGAATTTTCAGTGCAAAAATGAAAATAAGAGAAACAATGACCTTGATCTTAACAAATGTTATATATGAAGTCCTATATATGTCCTGAATATGAGATCCTGAACAACATTCAAGAGGTTTTAGCCGTCGGCCAGACACTTTGTGTAATGCAAATGCCGACAACTGTAACTTTCGAACTTCATAATTCGAAATATACCTAATAAAAAAATACTTTATTATAATGTTTTGAAAGCTGTATTATAATGTTCTCTTGAAATAAACTACAATAATTCGCAATAAAAAATAGAAGGTTCCATTAAAAAAGTTTTATGTAACATTTTGGACTTGACCTTAAGAATTTCTTATCAGGTGAAAGTCACCATTTTTTTCCTTCTTGAAACCAAAAAAATTTTTGTCTGAAACATTTTTTGAAAAAATTTCTCCTTTTCGAGATATTCGCGTATATTAATTAAAATGATCCTGTATATTTGATTGATACTTAAATAATATTTAAACTTATGTTGATATAATAAATTTAAATATTGCTTAAGTATCAATTAAACATATATTTAAGTTATCATTTCTAAAATAATTAAAATTTATTGAGAGTTTTGTGTTTACAGATTACAAAACTTATTGAAATAAACTTAACCCTGCTGCAAAATCCTATGGGGAATTTTCCTATGGGGAATTTCCTATGTGTTCCTATGTGCTTAACCATAGGTACTCATAATAAATTCGACAAATCCTTATGGGAGGAGGCTCCTATCTTGCTATAAATTCCCATGGGTTTTTATAGAGGACTACTATAAGGGGCAGTGAATAATGAAAGGAATAGGGAACAGGAAACAAAGAATAAGAATTTCAACCTATCAGAAACTGTGTATTCCACAATACATGATTTCTGATAGGAAATTCTTATTCTCTGTTCCCTATTTTTTTCATTGTGCGAATCTCTTCTGTAGGAGCTTGTATAGTATAAACAATTAATGACAACAAAGAAAAATATCAGGGCACTCCTCGTCTCGAACTCAGGCCTGGTCTCTCTTCCGAGTTGGTAAACTTCCGTTCTGCCACTAAGCCACATAGCTCTGACGCTGATAGCTTCTCTGTTGTGCCTATCCTCTAAATTTTTTATAATAAGTATTTACGCAGCATATATAGAATAGCATAAAATTTTTCTACAAAGTTTTATATAGGAATTTATGACATCAATCCTTAAAAAAGGCTCCTATAGGATTGCATGGAAAAAAGAATGATGTGCACGTTGATGCAATCGGACCTAAATGATAAACAGGATGTCTCATATTTAGGACTATTTTCATGTGCAGATAAATTAGACTAAACTGAGTCGAAAAGTCCTGTATCATTTTACAGTACAATTTTCAAAATAGTTTCTAAATATTTACATTTTACAATTTTCAAAATAGTTTCTAAACATTGCCAAATAAAATTAACGCATAAAACAACTTTAAGATATTTTTTAAAGTTCTCTATGATATATATCTCTATATTTTTTCATGATGTTTTTCAAAGAACTCTTAAATATATCTTAAAGTTGTGTCATGCGTCGCGCGCGATTTTAGACAGTCTGCTCATTGGATAATAATTGCGAAAATGATAGAGGACCTTTCGGTTCAGTTTATCTGCTCTATCTGCACATAAAAATAGTTCCAAATATTTTAAGATACTTTGTATAGTCCCAAAATAGTCACAAATATTCTGAGACACCCTATAGTCCCTATAATATAAATATTAGAATGTGTACAAAAACACTATAATGCCAATTGATGTAATTTCACATGCAGATAATCTAAGATAATTTTTTCATAACTCCAAAAATTGAAAATCACATAAACAAGATGTGCTTGGTGATTCAAAAAAGTCATAAGTATATATTTTCCTTATGGCAATTAGGATTTTTTTTCACCCGATGTGGAACATACTTCGTTTATTAATTATCGTGGTTTCCAATTTTTGGAAGTTACGAATTATTTTCTCAAATTGATATAAATACTTATAGGAATGCGGAAGAGATGCCTCATAGGAACTAAAGATCTATAGGATACTACACGTTGATGTATAGAAACATGTAGGTTTACAGTTAAGAGTTAGGACATAGGAGATGTGTCTACGTCGTCCTATGATAGCCTAAGCATTTCCAGTCCCCTCTCCTTTGTCTTACGCCTACATGTTGCTATATGTCAAACTGGTATCCTATAGACCTTTTAGTTCTCATGAGGCATCTGTCCACATTCCTATGGGAACCTCTATTATTCTATTTGCATTCCTGTGAATGTCCTACGTATACTTATGTAAGCTGCGCAAATCCTATAGGTAATTACACATTGTTTCAAGCGACTGAAAATGCTTTCTCGGCAATCTCGCTAAGCGACTTTCGACATCAATAAGGAGCATTCTAAATAACATATAAGTTTTAATAAATTGTAGTAATAGTGTACCGCTCTCATTAATCCAGAAATTAATAGTAGAAATCATGATAAAACGCAACAGTTGACAAGATATTTAATTATTTATGATTTTTCATGCGAGTTATATACTTCCTTCATAAACTCGAGTAGCAAGAATAATTCACTAGAGATAGAATTTTACTGGAAAAAAATTATAAATCAGCATTTCTCTTCATGAAAATCTTCGAAAAGTCATCAAAAAAGAAATGCGTATGTTTGAGACTCGAGATTTGTAAAAAAAAATATGCGAAAAATATCGAATAGGTGCAAAAAAACACATTGTCTGCTTATATGAAACGAAAGATATTGATTGAGCTGTGCGAAGTTGCCCCCTCCTCCCTCCCACTATTAAAAATTTAAATTATCATTACCATTCGTTTAATGATCATTTGGTGATGTTTGGCAGTCCATTCAGGACGTTTGATCAAAGTTAAATGTAAAAAAATGTAAAAAATGTAAAAAAAGAAGAATGCGCATCAAGATAGCTCCCCTCCATTTCTAAAACTCGACTTTATAAACTGCACATAATAAATACTGTAAGCATTCGTTTGGTAGTCGCTTACTGATATTTGGTAGTCCATTTCCCGATGATTGTCAGTAAGCGATTGCCAAACGAATGCTTACATTTATTATTGTACCATATATGCAGTCTCAAAGCTGAGTTTTAGAAACAAGAGAACTATGTTCATGCGTATGTCATTTTTTTTTTATTTTTGATTGTAATTTTGACTACCATCAGAAATTGGAAATGGACTATCAATCGTCAGTAAGCGGCTACCAAACGAATGTTTATAGTGAATGCTTATTATGAATGTTTACAGTTATTATTATGTATACAGTTGGAAAAGAGTTTTACAAATGGAGAGGCTAACATCACGCGCGTATATATCCTTTTTTAATATTTCCGGTTATAAATTCGACTACCAATTTTTGAGAATGGATTAAACGCGCGTTCTTCTTTTTTTGATATTTTTCGTTATATCTTACTCTTCGATTCATCCAGAATGGAAGATAATTTTTTTTTTAATCTCGTAGAAAACTGTCAGCTGTCGAATGTATCACACGGCTATTTAATATGATGCATATTAACGGAATTATTCTATTTTTTATATGAAAAAAAGATATCCACTTTTCAAAGTCGTTTTATAATAGTTTAACTGCAAAAAATTGTTGCAAAAAATTGTAAATGCATGTAATAGTCGAAGATAAACGAGACTACCAAACATTACCAAATGACTACCAAACGAATAATAATGGTCATTTTTAATAGTAGAGGGACTAACTTCACACAGCTTATTGTTTATATAAAAAAAGTTCGGTATGAAAAATGTAGGTATTCAAAATACTTACAAAATACGTCAAGAGACACGAGAAATGTAGCTGTGGAACTTTTAGATGATGAGCGAGAATGCATGTACATCGAGACCTTGGATGCAGTTTACAAACATAGATAGAATCTTTAACTAATCTGGATGTTATTAATATTATGCAGTGCGGACATGTTAAGAACTGCACGTTACAAAATGTATTTAAAATTTATAACTGATGATTGCAAAAGAATTTTAAATAAAAATACGTTAACGTATTTATGTTTTTCTTTTTCCCTTCCTTTGTAATACATATACGTATGTACATATGTATATATGAACGTATGTATAAACATATGTGTGTATGTAAGTACGTATGACGTATGTACACACACATATATATATATATATGTGTATGTACGTATGTATGTATGTATATATGTATCCGAAACATCGACACTTCTGTTAAACGCGTTGACATAGTTGATCTGATAATACATATATATAGATATAATAGGTAGAGTATAAGGCTTTTTTTCATTCAATCGTAAGCTTCAGTTGCAAGCGTTAAGACACGAACTGAATAAAAGAATATATACGTCGAAAATCGAGCAAAAGGAATACCGTGTCCGTCAAGGCCACCGCCATCGAAGGAAAAAGCAAGATATTGGGAATGCCCAGGGGGAAAAAATATCAAAGTTGTCAATGTACTCATCATCAATGTTATCAATGCCACCGAAATATAAGTCATAAAGTATAAATTCGATAAACTCGAGAACAAAGAAAACGTAGAAAGCTGTGATACAACATTGATAAACTCGCGAACAAAAAAAATACGTAGAAAAAACACAATAAAACGTATAGGAGCATGTTTGCAATTCTTAAAAAGAGGGGAGATTAACCCCTCTTCAATTCTAAAAGTTTTACCATATACGTAATAATTTATGCGGATACAATCAGCTTGCGATACTCACTTGTACGAACGGTTGAAAATGTATTTCATCAAAGAGCAGTACATCGTATGAAACGAAGAACTGCAGTAATATGTAAGTTTCGACGTTCTATACATAAAAAAGAAACATTTTTTTTTACATTACGTACGTACACAGCATGGAGCATCGCGCGTTTACAAAGCAGATGTTACAACCTGACGGCTACGAGCTACAAGTATTTGGAAATTGGAATCAACGTTGCTCCGCCCAATTACATGGAGATCGCTCTTATGGGGAGATCATCGCGGACACGAACTGTCGCTGTCTCTCGAAAAGGGGCTCGTGGAACCCTCTACGAGCAACGATGGAATATTTACAAGATGCTTCGAAACAAATACAAGGACAATTTTATAAGCGTTGAACCACTAACCGTCAAAGTTTGCATGCTGAACGATGCTACGCTCATACGTTTCGATTCTTCGTTTGTATGCATGACGATGACCGAAATGACACTACGCCGTATATTTGATGGATGTAACGTTCAAATGATAATAGTCCGACTCGTCGATACGATTAATGTCAAGTATACGCAATTCTCCAATATCGCGTTCGAAAACATTATACGCGATAGCAACATCTTCAATGGACATCAGCTCATCGATTGTGAATTATTGGCTTTAATTTTTAATATGTATGAAAAAAAAACGATGTAATATGTGCGTGCGTGCGTGTGTGTGTGTGTGTGTGTGTGTGTGTGTGTGTGTGTGTGTGTGTGTGCGCATGCGCGCGTGTGTGTGTCAGGGAGGAGGAAGTGCGCCAGGGTCCATAGTAGAAGGGTTTGTTCCTTCTCTCTCTCATTCATTGCGTTCTCTCTTTAATCTATGTTTAACCTTGTTCTTTCTCTCCTACCCATTGTAGGATGCAATTCTCTTTCCCACGTTGTCTTTTCTTCTTGTACATGATTTAATTAAGTAAATATTTACGATTTTTAATGATTCGACTTAGAAACTAATTATGATAATATTTTTATGAATTTTTAATAATATAACCTAGTAACACTACTAATTATAATTTTTTTTTGTCAATATAATACAAATGGCCAAGCGCGCTTTCTTATTGACTAATTTAATACTACTACGAAGATGTGAAGAAGAAATGGCGAAGATACTAGGGATAAAATAATTTTAGAAGAAAAAATTTTATTTTTTAACATACATTTATTTATCATGTAATGAAGTATGTTCAATATAATCTAAATCATAGACTATTAGTTCACATTCTACAATAAAATTTTTATCATAAATTTTGTAAAAAATGTTTGCAGCATCGCTTTTATTAGTAATACAATTTTGTCTTAAAAATGACACAAAATATTCAAATTTCTTACTAAGTGCGTATATTGACTCAGTTCATAGAATACATGCTCAATACATTGTTCAAGTTCAAATAAGAAAAGCAGTTGTTGGTTTCATGTACAAATATATGCCATTTAATGTTAACTTTACATTATTCGTATCATATATTTTAATAAATTCTGCATTTAGATCTTGAATCGATGATAATGGGACTGTTGACTGCATTAATCGCTCGATATCTGTACGCCTCTCGATAAATGCCTTCGTAGCATAAAGTATGAACATGCGATTGCCTTGATTATCGCCAATCGTAATTTGCAGATGAGATATAAATCCCATAACGATCTCAACGTCCAGGAACTTGTACGCTGTTGATATCAATGCATATTTCCTCATCAAGTTAGGAAGGATGTAGCGGGGCGTGTTCGAAGATGTACTAGACGATGTTCGAGAAAATGCGCTGTAGAAAAAAAGAAAACATCTAAATAGATCTTACAAAAATACATAACATATAATACGTATAAGCAAATATTTTATAAAATTAAATTATAAATTAAATTATAAAAGTAAAACTTACTATCTCTTACACGCTTCATTCTGTTGAATTGGAACGTAATAATTCATGGCTTGAGATATTTTATTTTCTCAGAAAACTTATAATTAGCAATAGCTGTCTGAACTCTGTTGAAGCTTTCTGAACGACTGATGCGGTAATGTTGCCGCACGAAGCTTTTTTTTTAAACAGTGTTCCCTTCTGCATTTTTTTTTACATACTCTAAAATGGAGGGGATTTTTTTTTTTTATATACATTATACTTTGAAGAACAATTGCGTCGAAGGATATCAAATTGACACATCATAAGAATGCACTCTAATGATACGAGGGCAAGTCAATAAGTTTTTAGAAAAACATAGTAAAACACATTTTTTTTGATCGATTCATTTCTTTACGATTCATTTCATTTTATTTCTCTACTTAGTCTCCTTTTAGCTCGATTTAGCATTGATCCAATGATTCTCTAACTTTTTCAAGCCTGAATAATATGATTTGTTCAACCCTTCAAATAAGTGTGCCTCTGTTTCGGCGATGAGCTGCTCTCTGGGTGGTGAATCTCTTTCCTCCGAATCATTTCTTCAAGTTTGGAAATAGGGAATATTCGCAAGGGGCGACTATAAATCTGACGAATATGCTGGATGGGAAAGCAATTCGTAGCGGAATACGTTGAATTTGGCCATCGATGCCGGGCACGTGTGAACCCGTGCTTATGATTCATAATGAGCAAACGCGTCACCCATCTTGCCGGATAGCTTTTTCATACCCAATTGTTGGTGCAAAATTGAAATCACTGTACCATGTGATATGCCTGTGACCTCAACAGCAGCTCGCACATTTTAACTCGTCGATCAGTCAAAAACAATATCGTGGACTTTGTCAATGATTTCTGGCGTAGCAGTCTCAATTGGACCGAACGAGATGCATCGCATGCGGATGTACAATCACGTTTAAATTCATTCATCCAATTGTATACGATCGCAAACGCTGGTGCAAATGTGCACAATGTGCAGTATGAACATATTCAATTTAGCTTTGATTTCTTTCGGCGTTAAACCTTTCATATGTAGATGTTTGATTATTGCACGAAACTCGTTTTTTTCCATTTTGCAAAAAATACAAAAGTTATTCGCTTTAATCGTCTACAGAAATGAAATCACGCGATGAATTCTCAAAATTTGACAGTAATCAGCTGAAAGATGCTACTTGTCAAAAAGTAATGTGACATGACACTGCGAGTGTTTTCTGACAGATTTTCTAAGAACTTATTGACTTACTCTCGTATCGAATCTTTTTTATCTAAGGGATCGGCGCTAATGACAATAAAGTCTGTCTGCTCCTACTCTCTTTTCAAAAATGAATTTCGGGGCAGTATATTCAATGTGAAATTTTACTTATATATAGAAATTGTGAGTTTGTTAAACTACACAATGACACATATCGCAAGAATGCACTTTGACGATATCAGATCTTTTTTTTTATCTTTAAAGATCGACAATAAAGTCTCTGTTTCCATTCTCTTTTATTAAAAATAAAAATATTTTTTTTGGTCTATCTTTACGACTGCGATAAAAAATCACGCCTTCAGAAACACATTAAAATTTGTTGAAACATGTTCAAACATGTTAAAACATGCAGCAAATGATGCATCTTTCCATATTATATAAAACGAAAAGATTTTCTTCTCTAAGAACTCATTTTGTCAGCAGTCGAGCAACAATCGAGTTGCAGTTCAAAGTGACAATATGGCTCAAACGGAGCGTGATCTCATAGCGCAAGCCGCTCAATTGAATACGCGAGAAAAGTTTCTTGCGTGGGAACAACGTTGCGATAATTTCGAATCGCTGGAGGAAAGTCGCGCTAAACGTCCGCGATTGGAGTTGAATAATTGTTGATTCGCTCGTATCGCGCGATTCGAAAATTTAAAAGACACGATGCGTCGTTTCGTGCAATGGGTGCCGGATAGCGTGGGACTTCGATGGCGCGAGATTGATACGGCGTTTAAAAATCGTATATTGACCGGTGCTGTAATACTCTGAGCACGTCGAACCTCGCCAATTCCTCGAAGATGCGAGAGAGATAGTGCTTGAGCGTGCAAAATGTTATTCAGAATCATGATAATGTTCATATTTAATATTTTCATAACGAAAAAAAAATTATACAGTTTGTAATAAATTTATAATAAATTTTATCGTTACAACATATTATCCTTGTATACCCAAGAGTGTGAATTATCAAATTTTAATCATTTCACATAAATCTTGTCTCCCTTTTTTCTTCCCAACGCAACATCTTTTCAACAAGATATACATTGGGATTAGCGATGCAATGCAACTCATATTCGTAGAATTCTCTAGCAACAGATTTCCCATGGTAATCTTCCAGTAGATATCCAGTAGATGTCATGGAATTAGTTTTTATACTTTGATGATTCTAAATCGTGATCTAATTTGACCTTTCTCAAAGATGGTCTTGAATTTGCTCACACGTAACGAATCACTTTGAATTATGCGAGTGCGATAGCCTTTACGCTACTGTACATCGTACTTAAGAGTGTCAGCAATCATGGGAGTTACATCGATGAGCCGCATACCAATAGTTCGATGCTATCGCGTATTTGTACTCAAACACGAGACATAAAAGCAAGTCGATCCATTTATAATTTTCATTGTGCGTAAATTGTTTCCATATCGTTTTTCAATGAATGATTGAACCGTTCAACGACAGATGCCTTCATTATGGAATACGTTGAATAATGATTTATGTTGTGTTTTTTCAAGAATTTTTGCACGTTTGCGTTGTAAAATTCTTTTCCTATATCGGTTTGCAAATTTTTCTTCCGTCGTCTCAAATTATCTTTGCGATCATTGTAGCCATCTTTTTTTTCACTCTTGATTTTCATTGGTACAGCCTATGCGTGCTTACTCAATATATCGATAACGGTGATAATGTAGTAGTAACCTTTGAATCGTGTGTAAAGGCGTATCAGGATACGATGTGGCATACAGACCTGCCACAAGTCTGTATGTCACATCGTATCCGTAAACTATGACACGTCTGCGTGGAAAATTTTTTCTCGCCAGAGCGTGCAGCTCTTCCACCAGTCGCTTTTCGAGATTTTTTTTTTTCAGACATGTTACGTTGTAGACATATTATGTTGTGATTATTGCTGTATAATGTGTAAAATATCAAACATTACTTATCTTGCGCAAACATTGTTCATCATTTCGTCAACTAAAATGATTGTCTATCCCGTTTCAATTTATAATAAAGCCAATTTCATGAAGCTCCTCGATAATAGACAATATTTCGTTATCGTGGGCGTTATGACTTGCCTGACGCGAATCCTCGAGCAATCGGACGATCCAGTAGCTCGTTAGGATCATCCCAATGAACATAATCAAATAATAATATCGATTTTATTACCATTTAGGGTAATATTATTACCATTATTATTACTATAATCGATTTTATTACCATTTATACCCGTACTTGTATCTTACCTGATACCAAGGGTGCTATTATATTCTTATATTTGTATCCTTTGTTACCCAATATTAGATTATCCGCATTATAGTTGCGTCTATGAGTATTCGTTGCCAACAGTATACTTTTATACTAGTTTATTATCCTCTGTATAAATAGTGCCATCAGGGATTCTTTTGAAAATTAATTCGTACAAACCAGGTGTATCTTTGTACTTTACTCCATCTACGATCACAAAGTCATTCGTGTCTACATCGAAATATTTGTCACTGAGCATTGTGCCGTTCTCTGAGGTATACGCCATAAATGTGATCGATCGCTTTTTCTCTGTTACCGAGAATTACCGAGAAGCATGTTTACGTATTTTTGTCCAAGTGCCAATTAATTATGCAACTCCTCACGAACTTGCCGTGTTTGCAAAGATTGTTTAACTAACATTTGCAAAGATTGTTTCAAACGATTCATTGGGCATTTCATAAACGTCTTCGACTGAGGGAACGTGCGAACGTACGATAATTTGTGTGATGTTATGTCATAAACTACGGACGAAAAGAGATAATGTTACTAATGATACTATTAATGAAGAACATCCATGGTTCGTTCTATCTTATGTTCCATCGATTTCTGAGAAATTCTTTACTATTATCAAAAATATTAACGTGAAATTATTTTTCTTCAGTTTGAATAAGCTTAATAAATTCATTAAAGTACAGAACGATACTCTCCAAAATTCTCCAATAAAAATGTTGTTTATAAAATCCCTTGTAAAGATTGCGATGAGTATGTTGATCAAAAAGGTCGAAAATTATTCACGATAATATTTGAGCAATCATTAATAGCAATAACAAGAAACAATCAGTGATCACAGACCACCGACTTAGTTTCAATCATGAATTTGATTTAGAGAATATCCAAATTCTTGATAAGATTTCTCAATAAACATTTTACAAATTCAGAAATTCATATATACATGCAGAAGAAGGAAAAACAGACACGGATTGCTTGTGCACTATTTATATGCTTCTTTATTAGATACGCTAAAACAATATTGAAATTTGAATTGGTTATAGATTGACTCTCTTATTATTCACTGTCATTGCTTGTTTAGAAATCTCCTTATCACTTTGTAATGCAATATCTCCGGATATCAATTTTATGGTCCAGGTACGTATTTAGAAAAGCGATTGGCTAGAGGCGATCGAGACCGTAATCCGTTGAACGCGGCATGTCGCGAACACGACATAGCCTATTCGTGGAGCAAAGATCTCACGAACACATAACTGACAAAATATTCGCTGAGAAGGCGCGGAAACGAATTACCGCGAAAAATTCGACTCTTGGAGAGAGAGCTGCTGCGATTTGGGCAGCTAAGAAAATCAAAATGAAAATTGGTGGGCTTGAAAACGAAAAAAAAGCTAATGAAAAAATGAATATCGGTGGCAAAACGCAATGGTATCTTACCTATTCTATCGCTGTTAAGAGTCTTTGACTCATTGGTCAGCGGCGCAGCAGGAATTATATCGCAAAAGCTATACACGATAATAAAGCCGCGTAACAACAGTTGAAAGAACTGAAACGTCATAACCGCGTCATGGAAGGTGGAATTTACCTCGCTCCGTACAAGCTGGACAAGGAGTCACAATGAAAAAAATAAAAAAGATTAAAAAAAACGTTAAACAGTTATC